CTGAGACATGTCATGGTATAACTAGGGCGTTCTGTACGGCACTGAGACTTATCATGGTATAACTAGGGCGTTCTGTACGGTACTGACACATATCATATTACAACTAGGGCGTTCGGAACGGCACTGAGACATATCATGTTACAACTAGGGCGTTCTGTACGGCACTGAGACATATCATATTACAACTAGGGCGTTCTGTACGGCACTGAGACATATCATGGTATAACTAGGGCGTTATGTGCGGTACTGACACATATCATCTTATAACAAGGGCGTTCTATATGGCATTGAGACATATCATGGTATAGCTAGGGCGTTCTGTATGGTACTGAGACATATCTTGTTATAACTAGGGCGTTATGTACGGCACTGAGACATATGTTATAACTAGGAGTTCTGTATGGCATTGAGGCATATCATGTTACAACTAGGGCGTTCTGTACGGCACTGAGACATATCATGTTACAACTAGGGCGTTATGTATGGTACTGAGACATATCATGGTACAACTAGGGCGTCCTGTACGGAACTGAAACATATTATGTTACAACTAGGGCGTCCTGTACGGCACTGAGACATATCATGTTACAACTAGGGCGTTCTGTACGACACTGAGACATATCATGGTACAACTAGGGCGTTCTGTACGTCACTGAGAGATATCATGTTACAACTAGGGCGTTCTGTACGGCACTGAGACATATCATATTACAACTAGGGCGTTATGTACGGTATTGAGACATATCATATTACAACTAGGGCGTTATGTACGGCATTGAGACATATTATGTTACAACTAGGGCGTTTTGTACGGCACTGAGACATATCATGGTATACCTAGGGCGTTATGTGCGGTACTGACGCATATCATCTTATAACAAGGGCGTTATGTGCGGTACTGACACATATCATCTTATAACTAGGGCGTTCTATATGGCATTAAGACATATCATGGTATAGCTAGGGCGTTCTGTATGGTACTGAGACATATCATGGTATAACTAGGGCGTTCTGTACGGCACTGAGACATATCATGGTATAACTAGGGCGTTATGTGCGGTACTGACACATATCATCTTATAACAAGGGCGTTCTATATGGCACTGAGACATATGGTATAGCTAGGGCGTTATGTACGGCACTGAGACATATCATGCTATAACAAGGGCGTTCTGTATGGCATTGAGGCATATCATGGTACAACTAGGGCGTCCTGTACGGCACTGAGACATATCATTTGATAATTAGGGCGTTCTGTATGGTACTGAGACATATCATGGTATAACTAGGGCGTTCTGTACGGCACTGAGACATATCATGGTATGACTAGGGCGTTATGTGCGGTACTGACACATATCATCTTATAACAAGGGCGTTCTATATGGCACTGAGACATATGGTATAGATAGGGCGTTCTGTATGGTACTGAGATATATCATGTTATAACTAGGGCGTTATGTACGGCACTGAGACATATCATGTTATAACAAGGGCGTTCTGTATGGCATTGAGGCATATCATGGTACAACTAGGGCGTCCTGTACGGAACTGAAACATATTATGTTACAACTAGGGCGTCCTGTACGGCACTGAGACATATCATGTTACAACTAGGGCGTTCTGTACGACACTGAGACATATCATGGTACAACTAGGGCGTTATGTACGGTACTGAAACATATCATGTTACAACTAGGGCGTTATGTACGGTACTGAGACATATCATGTTACAACTAGGGCGTTCTGTACGGTAATGAGATATATCATGTTACAACTAGGGCGTTCTGTACGGCACTGAGACATATCATGTTACAACTAGGGCGTTATGTACGGTACTGAGACATGTCATGGTATAACTAGGGCGTTCTGTACGGCACTGAGACTTATCATGGTATAACTAGGGCGTTCTGTACGATACTGACACATATCATATTACAACTAGGGCGTTCGGAACGGCACTGAGACATATCATGTTACAACTAGGGCGTTCTGTACGGCACTGAGACATATCATATTACAACTAGGGCGTTCTGTACGGCACTGAGACATATCATGGTATAACTAGGGCGTTCTGTACGGTACTGAGACATATTATGTTACAACTAGGGCGTTATGTACAGCACTGAGACATATCATATTACAACTAGGGCGTTATGTACGGTACTGAGACATATCATGGTATAACTAGGGCGTTCTGTACGGTACTGAAACATATCATGTTATAACTAGGGCGTTCTTTACGGTACTGAAACATATTATGTTACAACTAGGGCGTTATGTACAGCACTGAGACATATCATATTACAACTAGGGCGCTCTGTACGCCACTGAGACATATCATGTTATAACTAGGGCGTTCTGTACGGCATTGAGACATATCATGCTATAACAAGGGCGTTCTGTATGGCATTGAGGCATATCATGGTATGACTAGGGCGTTATGTGCGGTACTGACACATATCATCTTATAACAAGGGCGTTCTATATGGCACTGAGACATATGGTATAGATAGGGCGTTCTGTATGGTACTGAGATATATCATGTTATAACTAGGGCGTTATGTACGGCACTGAGACATATCATGTTATAACAAGGGCGTTCTGTATGGCATTGAGGCATATCATGGTACAACTAGGGCGTCCTGTACGGAACTGAAACATATTATGTTACAACTAGGGCGTCCTGTACGGCACTGAGACATATCATGTTACAACTAGGGCGTTCTGTACGACACTGAGACATATCATGGTACAACTAGGGCGTTATGTACGGTACTGAAACATATCATGTTACAACTAGGGCGTTATGTACGGTACTGAGACATATCATGTTACAACTAGGGCGTTCTGTACGGTAATGAGAAATATCATGTTACAACTAGGGTTTTCTGTACGGCACTGAGACATATCATGTTACAACTAGGGCGTTATGTACGGTACTGAGACATATCATGTTATAACTAGGGCGTTCTGTACGGTACTGAGATATCTCATGGTATAACGAGGGCGTTCTGTACGGTACTGATAAATATCATGGTATAACGAGGGCGTTCTGTACGGTATTGATATATATCATGGTATAACGAGGGCGGTCTGTACGGCACTGAGATATATCATGGAATAACGAGGGCGTTCTGTACGGTACTGAGATATATCATGGTATAACGAGGGCGTTCTGTACGGTACTGATATATATCATGGTATAACGAGGGCGTTCTGTACGGCACTGAGATATATCATGGTATAACGAGGGCGTTCTGTACGGTACTGAGATATATCATGGTATAACGAGGGCGTTCTGTACGGCACTGAGATATAGTTAACAAGTCAGGTTACGTAGTGGAATCACATCGTTAAAAATACAAACGATAGCTCATTTTTACATATTTATGAAATGGTCAGAGGATCAAAATGTTTGAAAGAAACCAATCGAAACAACGACAGAGTATGCTTCGACCAGACGAAACAGACGCTTTGTAGTTTTAGGAGAAAGATTATTGCAAAGTCTGCTGTTCTTTTTCATATAGCAATAACAAAATGGAGAGTACATATATATAAACGCATTATCTTTGATTTCACCAAATGTTTGTCTACAGGCTTAAATCCGCGAGCATCCTTGAGGTTATTCAATTTGTTGTTTACTGTATAAACTGCGTTCTATAAAACTATTTAATAGTTCATAACATAATAAAAGAAACCATGGCTGTGAACACTTTATCCTTCCGCCCTGACGTTATAGCTACGGCCAAGTCGTCACTAGATGTAAGGAAGCTTAACACCATTAAACGACAAGGTATACATTGCTTAACACCATTAAACGACAAGGTATACATTGCTTACACCATTAAACGACAAGGTATACATTGCTAACGCTCTTAATACTTCATTTGTTGAACTCGTTGTTCTTTGATGAATAACAAGTTCATGCTGATATAAAATTCATAACGATGCATTTATCAGCGGATTATTCATACGATCATAAATTATATACCAAGCAATATTGAAATTAAAAAAATATCAAGAAAAGGAACAGTTTTCATGTTACCGATAGATCAACATTAAGAGATTAAGATATTCGGAAAGACGACAGCAAGAGGGGAACACGGTCAAAAAACACAGACAAGTGCCATTGAAAGGGACACAGATGATCGCATTTATATTATCATGCGCCATGATTATTCCAGTGTTTAACCTCGACAGAATCCTTTGTTATGAGAAACTTTGTTTTAGAGAAGATGTGAAGTTCCTTTGGTTGTTTCGTTGATATTCAAATGGCATATGAACATGACCTCTCCTGCAGGGGTACTAATACCACAACTTAAGCAGGCTTACCGCGTGATTTGATTTTATACATAGCCGATTTCGAAAAGTCAAGCGTTTCCAACAAACTGCAGCCATATTTAATGATATTTCATGTTGACGTTATTCTGTGACATTTGAAGTTTGCAGTGTCATATTCACTAGATTTTAATGGGAAACATTTATTATACAATTGAATATTTTAGAAACAAAATTATTTATATGCTTATTTACTATATTTTGCATTGCAAATATTGAATTTATTTCATAAACGAAAACACAAGACAGTTGAGCTCTGTATGTAATGAAAGCCACCACTATACGCCCTGCTCTGCATTTGCTTTATACCCTAACAAACAAGTTGCTATGTCTACACGTCCTTAGACGGATTTAACAAACAAGTTGCTATGTCTACACGTCCTTAGAAAGATTTAACAAACAAGTTGTTATGTCTACACGTCCTTAGACAGATTTAACAAACAATTTGCTATGCCTACACGTCCTTATAAAGATTTTACTGCTCGGGCACTTGCTAGCTACCACTACTAGTTGGTGTCATCAGCAATAAGTGTCTCGGACACAGTGATCTATACAGTCACATGGCGGCTTTCGGGGGTGACATTTTCCATAAAATCGCATTCAAATTCAGATGGAGTGCTGTAAAGTAGGATTGTAGAAGATGGCACAATACACATACTTACTACTAATTGTTTCATATGTTCCGACTATAACAAAACATCATTATTATGTAATATACACGAGAAGAGGGATATGTAGACAAAAAAAATAAAAAAGTACCTATTTAGATATGAACATGCAGGTTCGAGTTTTTACACAAAGCAGGGTGAGCATTTATATTGTCTACGACAAGTAATGGCCCTCAGGGTTGAATTTGACTATCCTAATATTAATAATATATCTTTAATTTTTATTTACCTTGATGAGTTTAAGATTACCTTTTCATCTCCTTTTATTCTAATAATATAATACTGCAGGTCCTTAAAATTCCTTTTGATCATTATAAATATGTTTATGGTGATAATTGTGCATCTTAACCTTAAATAACCATCGATCATCACAATAGCGAAGATAATAAGGATCTTTATTCCATAATTAAAACAAACAGCATTTGTGATGTATTAAAGTAACTTTTCACTGTTAGACTAGCTAGATTAATGTCAGATATATCACTACCACGTATGGGGACCTAAGCAGGTTTCTGGACAGCTAAGAAATCGATGATTAATCATAAATATAGTTGTGCAAGTGCGATCATTGAAGACCAGCGAAACCATTTTACACAAATTCTACTGTATATGATACAGATATACGTATATGCAACCAAAATGAGCGTTAGCGATGACGTAAAACCTATTGTCTTTGAGGTGAATACTTACACCGATTGGGTTTCTGTACATGGCACGAACGCCTGATGAAGGGAACGACATAGCTATGACCCGTTCTGAAATAAAATTGAGAAAAAATCGTATTTTAAAATCAGTAATTCCTTATACAACTCTGTTCTAATATTTAACTTGACGAAAAGTATTGCAACTATATTGGCAAACAAATGCACTTGATACTTATTGAACTAACATTTGGGTTACAACTATATATAATGTGTCTGTTCTTGTCGTGACAAAAAAAGTCGTGTGCATGTTATTCACGACACAAGCCCATTTCCGGGTTATAAAATCTGAAAAGTACCGCTGATATAGTATTTCGGTCCCGATATCAGTCCTCGGGGCATTCGGCCCCTCTGGCTGATATCAGGACATTCGGGCTGATAATGGGTATGATATCAAAATGGTCATATAATAACCTCTAATTCAAGATGTTCGATCTCGTTTAGCAAATCAGGAAATTTTATTGATTTAATTATAAATTCGTTGTGATGACGTCATGGTCGATACAGAATCAACATTGCGTCATAACTGATATCTAACCTTTGATATGTAAAGATGAGTATAAAACAACAACAGTGTTAAGTGCAATATTAATGTTAACTGTCATAACCTGCAAAGTTACTCATGTAGTACGATTTACAATATTCATTTTTACAATATTTTTGTTGACAGTCCAGTCAAAGTTATTTTCAATATTTGTGTTAACATCAAGTAATGGCTATTTACACTATTTATGTTAAAAGCCAGTCAGAGCTATTTATTATAGATATCGTTACAACCAGATGGATGTATTAACAATACATTTCACAGCAGGATAGAACTATTAAAGGTATTGATGTAACGGTCAGGTAAAGCTATTTTTGTTTTGTTTACCGACAGGTAAAGCTATTTTTGTTTTGTTTACCGATAGGTAAAGCTATTTTTTGTTTATAGCCAGGTAAAGGTATTTTCAATATACACTTTTGCAGCCAGATATATTTTTTTTACCAAACTTATGTATATATAACCAGGTACAGTGCTTCACTGTAGAATCTCACGAATGTCACGACTCGGCCTTAAGCTCCCGTGTTCTTTATCATGTATTCGACATTGACCTGCTCATACTTTGCCTGAGTACAATTCTTTTTCTCTCGCCCTCTCTAGTGGAGTACTGATGGATCACCTCTCTAGTGGAGTACTGATGGATCACCTCTCTAGTGGAGTACTGATGGATCACTAACAGCAATGAGCAGAGGAAATGCTCTACTGTTAGAGTTAATACATTGAAGATCAGATTATTGGTCTAATACCTTGTTTTCATTACCCAGTGGAGTAGCAGACATCCACTTAGATTTCTCATTACGAAGCAGAGTTAGTGCATCTCTTCCATCGGGAACGCAAAGCAATATCAACATTTCGCTTGCATAGATATACAAGTAAAGTGTATATAAAATCACATCTTAGATTACAATGCCACTTTACATGTCCCTGCAGTTATTTAACAGTCAGGTTAGACGAGTCTCCTCGTTGTTTCCAATTACATCTTAAAGGTCAAGTACGGACTCACAAGTACGCTTTGTTTCCCAAACTCCAATACTTACTCAGCTATTATCATTTCTAAAAAGTGGTCCATTCCTTATGAGACTTTTGTGAAAATATAATAAAAATGAAATAAATACAACGGAGTCAGACCTGGACTCGAGCGGTGGACGTGAGATTGTTACAATGATGCTCTACCAACTAAGCTACCTGGTCAACGGACAGGCACTGGCCTAACTGTAGTATATAAACATCCGAGAGGAAATACAGGAGGGTTACTGTGTATAAACTAAACACCACGGTGGAAATCTCTAGTGTCAGCAGTGGGGCAGGGACCCTTAACCTAACACTATTTATTACGTTTAACGGTTTAAGGTCGAATCCCCACCCTTACCACTTATTACGTTTAACGGTTTAAGGTCGAATCCCCCCCCTTACAATTTATTACGTTTAACGGTGTAAGGTCGAATCCCCACCCTTACAATTTATTACGTTTAACGGTTTAAGGTCGAATCCCTACCCTTACAATTTATAACGTTTAACGGTTTAAGGTCGAATCCCCACCCTTACAATTTATTACGCTTAACGGTTAAAGGTCGAATCCCCACCCTTACAATTTATTACGTTTAACGGTTTAAGGTCGAATCCCTACCCTTACAATTTATAACGTTTAACGGTCTAAGGTCGAATCCCCACCCTTACAATTTATTACGCTTAACGGTTTAAGGTCGAATCCCCACCCTTACAATTTATTACGTTTAACGGTTCAAGGTCGAATCCCCAAATCCCCAACCTTACAATTTATTACGTTTAACGGTGTGAGGTCGAATTCCCACCCTTACAATTTATCGGTTTAAGGTCGAATCCCCACCCTTACAATTTATTACGTTTAACGGTTTAAGGTCGAATCCCCACCCTTACCATTTATTACGTTTAACGGTTAAAGGTCGAATCCCAACCCTTACAATTTATTACGTTTAACGGTTTAAGGTCGAATCCCCAACCTTACAATTTATTACGTTTAACGGTTTAAGGTCGAATCCCCAACCTTACAATTTAATTCGTTTAACGGTTTAAGATCGAAACCCCACCCTTACAATTGATTACGTTTAACGGTTTAAGGTCGAATCCCCACCCTTACAATTTAATTCGTTTAACGGTTTAAGGTCGAATCCCTACCCTTACAATGTATTACGTTTAACGGTTTAAGGTCGAATCCCTACCCTTACAATTAATTACGTTTAACGGTTTAAGGTCGAATCCCCAACCTTACAATTTATTACGTTTAACGGTGTAAGGTCGAATCCCCACGCTTACAATTTAATTCGTTTAACGGTTTAAGTTCGAATCCCCACCCTTACAATGTATTACGTTTAACGGTTTAAGGTCGAATCCCCACCCTTACAATTTATTACGTTTAACGGTTTAAAGTCGCATCAGCACCCTTACAATTTATTACGTTTAACGGTTTAAGGTCGAATCCCCACACTTACAATTTATTACGTTTAACGGTGTAAGGTCGAATCCCCACCCTTACAACTTATTACGTGTAACGGTGTGAGGTCGAATCCCCAAATCCCCACCCTTACAATTTATTACGTTTAACGGTTTAAGGTCGAATCCCCACCCTTACAATTTATTACGTTGAACGGTTTAAGGTCGAATTCCCACCCTTACAATGTATTACGTTTAACGGTTTAAGGTCGAATCCCCACCCTTACAATGTATTACGTTTAACGGTTTAAGGTCGAATTCCCACCCTTACAATTTATTACGTTTAACGGTGTAAGGTCGAATCCCCACCCCTACAATTTATTACGTTTAACGGTTTAAGGTCGAATCCCCTCCCTTACAATTTATTACGTTGAACGGTTTAAGGTCGAATTCACACCCTTACAATGTATTACGTTTAACGGTTTAAGTTCGAATCCCCACCCTTACAATTTATTACGTTGAACGGTTTAAGGTCGAATCCCCACCCTTACAATTTATTACGTTTAACAGTTTAAGGTCGGATCCCCACCCTTACAATTTATTACGTTTAACGGTTTAAGGTCGAATCAGCACCTTTACTATTTATTATCAAAATCGGATAGTGGAAGTTGAAAGCAATCTTGAATTCTGAGAAGAGACTGAGAAGAGAGACTGAGACTGAGATTGAGACTGAGACTGAGACTGAGACTGAGACTGAGACTGAGATTGAGACTGAGAAGAGACTGAGACTGAGATTGAGACTGAGACTGAGATTGAGACTGAGACTGAGACTGAGATTGAGAAGAGACTGAGACTGAGACTGAGATTGAGACTGAGATTGAGACTGAGACTGAGATTGAGACTGAGACTGAGACTGAGAAGGAGAAGAGATTGAGACTGAGACTGAGACTGAGACTGAGA